GTGGCGTCCGTGCTGCTCAGGCCTTCGCCATTATTGCCACAGTTTTCGCAGGTCTAGGCTTGATCAGCACCCTGATCATTGAGTTTGACATTACGAAGGTTGTACTTCTGAAGCTGCCGCGCATCTTCTTCGCTGTATCCGGTACGTGTTTTGACCGAATCAGCCTGCACTATACATACAAACTACTTCCAGTTCTCGATGTCATTTTGGTCTCTGACTGAACCAGTTAGTGGAAGATTTCAGGTGGCGTTTTCCAGGTCTGGTTAAAGAGCTCAGTGGTGTTGCGCTCATCGATATAGTTTTAAACGTTAACGAGTGATTGTACTTGTATGGACTCGGATGGAGAGCCAAGGATAAATTCATAGAAAAGATAAAGTCAGTGCCATGCAATGTTTTCGCATGAGCTGATGGTTTAGTAACTGGTGGTATTAGTGGATATTTGTGTTACTTGCATTTAGGGGCCTTTTTCTTTTTTTATAAACTGTACATGTACATGTACATGTCTATACACAACGAGCGAAATGTTACCGTGACTTGGTTGAAGTTTGCATGTTTGTACGGTGTGTGTGAAAAATTGTCACCTTTCCAATTTTTGACCATCTAAATCGTATCTACATTTCTAAACTATGCCATCCTACATGGTGTGTTGTTGCCTTTCATGTTCTTTTCTTAGGTTTTGCGATTGCCATTGCCGCTCTCAGCTTCGTGGCCTTTATCAGCCAGGATGGCGAGGATGGCGATTTTGACACTTCTCGCCATGGCTTCCGGGTCACAAATAAGTACGGTGCCAGTTTCATCATTGCATGGGTCACGCTAGTTCCGGCCTACGTAGCAGGCTTGCTGGCGCATTTCCATCATTCTGCAAAAGCTGCTGCAGCCTAATCATTTATGGGCAATATAAAATTATTCTAGTTTCTCGCTCGGCTAATCGCCTGTATTGCTGTTGTAGAGGAAGTCTATATTTGTGCAAAGATTTGTAGTAGGCTACTAGCGCTGATTGTCGCTGCTACCTTTTCTGCACATGTGCATGTACATTGCATACACGTCATGTACATGTACATGAAAATACACACATACGTGACTATTTACATGGCCAGGTTTTGAGTGATGGAAAATAACGTTCAATTTGTTCATTGCAAACCAATCTCTGCTGCTTCTTGTGTCAAAATCATTCTTTTCCCTCATTCCTTCCCTCAACGTACGAATACCCATGAATATCCAGCAATATAATTATTTGAATTGTTCTTGATCGTTAGTGAATTTATTCATTTTATATTTTAAACAAGCGTTTCGCAGGTAGCAGTTTTAATATACATGTACATGTAGATACCAGGAGGACTAATTGTACTGCTAGTATTTCCTACATGTACATGTATAGTGTGCATGTGCAGTCAACTTCGCTTATAACGACACTCGGCGGGGCATCAAAAAAGTGTCCTTATTCGCGAAGTGTCGTTAAACCCGAAGTCTCATTATATGTATTACAGTTGGGTGGAACTTTGCTCTGGGCATGGACATTCTGTCGTTATTCGCGAATTGTCGTGATATCCGCAGTTGCTGTTAGCCAAGTTGACTGTACATGTATGTTATGTGTAAAATGTTATACTTCTTCAAGTACGATGATCGCAAAGCACACAACGACAGAAATTTTTTTTATTTTTTTTTATTTATTGCAACATCTCAAGACTCGGCGGAAACACCGGCCAATATTACGAGAGTGGGTGATTGCCAACCACGGCGATAAATAGAAAGAAGGGGAGGGAAAAAGAAAGAGTAGCAAAACGAACAGCAACAACAACTCCGTAAAGAAAGATAATGTCAAATAAAAACAGTGAAAAACACAGAGACGCAAAGGACATGTGGATAATGAGCTATGCATGTCGTAGTAAATAAGGGGCGGCACGGATCTTAAACAGGCGGAGTGAGGTCAGGTCCTTAACTTCTCTGGGTAGAGTGAGCCAAACAGAATAAGCAATAAAGAGAGGAATGTTTTACTTATGCATGAACATGTACATACATGTACATATATACATGTTATCAGGAGTACATTATTATGATCATGCACTCTTGATGTTGTGCTGAACCCCTTTTCGCGGGTGCCGCTGACTGGGACACATGAACATTAATTTTTACAATCTTCTGCGCTACCAACGAATAGTTTGCTCTGCTGTCATCCTGCCTACACTTCTGATCCACACAATCATACGTGCCCTTACATGCGTTGAACGATGCACTGACTGGCCTTAAAATTAGGCCAAAACGACATTGCCATTGCTACTCGAGGTCAGGGCTTACCGTCCTACATAATATCTACGGTCCACTAATGATAGTGGAGGCTACTCTCCGGAATGATTTCACATAATTATACTAACTTTCAAATCGAAATCAATCCATTGATAGCTTTTCTCCGCCTCTTTTGTTTGCCGATCCAGCGCTGTTCATGCCCCAGACTCTCCCTCTCTCTCTCTCTCTCTTTCTCTCTCTCTCTCTCTCTCTCTCTCTCTCTCTCTCTCTATCTATCTCTCTCTCTCTCTCTCTCTGTCTGTCTCTCTGTCTGTCTCTCTCTCTGTCTTTGTCTCTGTCTCTGTCTCTCTGTCTTTGTCTCTGTCTCTCTGTCTCTCTGTTTCTCCGTCTATCTGTTTCTCTCTCTCTCTCCATCTCTCTCTCTGTCTCTGTCTCTCTGTGTGTGTGTGTGTGTGTGTGTGTCACTCTGTCTCTCTCTGTTTCTCTCTCTCTCTCTCTCTCTCCAAGTTGCTTGAATCTCTGGTATCCAACAAAGCCACCGGCTCCGATGATATTCCGTCCTGCATCCTGAAATCCTGCAGAGATTCAGTCTCGTATCCGTTAACTGTTATTGTCAACCAGTCTCTTCGCTCTGGCATCTTTCCTGCTGCCTACAAACATGCCCATGTCTGCCCTGTTTACAAATCTGGTGATAAGACCTCAGCCACCAACTACAGGCCAATCTCACTGTTGCCTATCGCGGCCAAGATCCTAGAGAAGGTTGTCCACAAGCAAGTCACTTCGTATTTCACCCAGAATCCAGACCTGTCAGCCATACCAGCTGAACAATTTGTGTACCGCTCACACCATAGCTGTGAGGATGCCCTGACACTTTGCATAGACAGATGGAACAGAGCACTTGACAACGGTGACCAATGCGGAGTAGTCTTTGCGGATATGAGCAAGGCGTTTGACCGTGTGCAGCACACAGGTCTGCTGGGAGAGCTAGCCACCACTGGCTTAGGTGGCACTGTCCTCAAGTGGTTCTCAGACTATCTCACGAACCGCAGCCAGCAGGTTAATGTCAATGGTGAGAAGGGTGACACCAAACCCTGTACAAGAGGGGTCCCCCAGGGGTCTGTTCTTGGGCCTTTGCTTTTCTGCGTCTACATTCGCCGGGTACCCGATATATTTCACCAGAGTGTCGTGCAGCTGTACGCTGATGATATTGCGTTCTACGTATTCGGCTCTGATGTGGCTACAATTATGCTACGCTTGCAGGATAGTATGCGGTTGCTAGAGCAATACCTTGATGAGAAAGGCCTTCTGCTCAACCCCACTAAAACACAGTTCATGTTGATACGGCGTCCTGCCCTGCCTGCACTGAGCCCAATCATGTACCTGACCTGTAAAGGTATTGTCATGTCCCCTGTCTCTACTGTGAAATACCTCGGTATACTAATCGATGAGCATCTAACGTTCCGCCCACAAGTAGAAAAGGTGTGTTCAGTGGTCTTCGCTAAACTAGCCTGTTTTGCTCATGGCCGTCGCAATTTATCAGCTACAGCTCGGAGAACTTTCTTCTTGTCAATTATACAGTCTACTCTAGAATATGCAAGTAATGCGTATGTGCACTGTTTGAAAACTACCCTATATAACAGGCTTGTAACGGTCAGCCATATTGCGATGAAGAAGGCATTTGGTTTAGATAGAATGACCCCAACTGCATTAGTTTTACAACGGTGTCATCTGTATTCGTTTGAGCAACGAGTTAATTTGAAACTATACGTTTTGGTCTACCGCTGCTTGTCATCAATTACTAGCCCCCTCCTTCAGTCACTGTTTCTCCTGCGTTCAGTTGGCCCGCACACAAATGCTCGTACTCGTGGCCAGGATACAGCTGCCTTAGTATTACCTACTGTACATATTGGGTATGGACTGCGCTCAGTTTCTTTTCTGGCGGCAGGTCGGTGGAACACTCTTCCTCCAAACTGTCGTCAGGCACAATCTGCTGGTACTTTTGCTCACCTCACAAAGATTCACCTAGGGTTCCCTGTAACAAGGCCATGCCTGTTGGGACTCCCCTAGTCAAATAATAAATACTACTACTACTACTACTACTACTCTCTCTCTCTCTCTCTCTCTCTCTCTCTCTCTCTCTCTCTCTCTCTCTCTCTCTCTCTCTCTCTCTGTGTCTCTCTGTCTCTGTCTCTCACTCTGTCTCTCTCTGTCTCTCCGTCTCTCTCTCTGTCTCTCTCTCTCTCTGTCTCTCTCGCTCTCTCTCTCTCTCTCCCTCTCTCTCTCTCTCTCTCTCTCTCTCTCTCTCTCTCTCTCTCTCTCTCTCTCTCTTTCTTTCTTTCTCTCTCTCTCTCTCTCTCTCTCTCTCTCTCTCTCTCCTTTTCCATTTCCCTCCCTCTCTGGTTTTTCGCATATCATCTTTTCGTACGTATACACGTAGAATTTGTATTGATCTTCTCTCTCAGTTGGGGTCTCATCTCGTTAGTGTACTTGTGTCATTTCAGGAACATTGTTCAGAATGTATGCTGTACAACAATGTGATTCCCATGTGTGCTTAGAATGGCTTATTCGAAAACTCAATGTCTGCTTACCTCGCTTGTGGAAGTCGGCACTTGTTGCGGAGTGCATGGCCCACATTTCACGGCCATCCGTGCCTCTCTTTCCTGCAGCACTACGGAATATACTCTGTGGTTTTCACGCCACCATTTCGCTCTCCTTGACGCAGTCATCCATACAGCTTCTAAGTTACGAAATGCTCTACAGAAAAGAGCCTAACAGACGGTCTCTGCTTGAAGCATCGGGCTTTACTTGTGATTCAAACACGTTGAGCCAATCCAAACGCACTTGCTCTGGTTTACAAGAACGGAGGACAGGAAAAGTTTTGACTCTAGGTCTACGTGAGCTGTGGCCGTGCGCGTCTAGGCTACATGTATCTGGTCAAGGCGTTGCTGTGGACTCGTGGATGTGTTCCTATGGTTAGCAAGTGGTCTGCAGTGTGCAGTCAGTGATGCTGATCTTACAAATCAGTTACATGTACATGCACAAGTGCATGCGGGGAGCCTGTAGCCGCCGCACTGTGAAAAATGGGCAGAGAACATGACAATTTTATAGACAGTCATGCATTATACATGTACACGAGACAGATAGAATGGCAAATATAGAGAAAGACTACCTGTATTATGAATGGCGCTATCTTTGAAGTTGAGTAGGGTCCGGCGGGTTCTGCCCGCAGAAAAAATGGAAGAATTCGGTACTTTTTTCTGGTACGTTTCATGCATGTTTGGTATGTGGATAAAAAAATGGAGCAGAATTTGAGCAATTTTCCGCCATAAGGTTTGTATGGTTCTGCCAATTTCACTGCTTTTCGAGCAGAATCTGCCACCTTATTATGTACATATACAATGCAGGGGAGGATTTCAGTGAGTGCATCTGTATACGCGGGAGCTGTTTGTGTGTGTGTGTGTGTGTGTGTGTGCGGAGTCGCTGCCGCTGATTGTTCCGATCTGGCAGTTGGCAATGAAAGGGTTGAAGCTGTTACCTCCTTCCCCTATCTTGGATCTGTTATAACTCCGGATTCGCGAGCTCATGCCGATGTCCAGAGCCGCCTTGCGAAGGGTGCCAGGGCCTTTGGCTGTCTTCGGCGGATTTTACATGATCAGAGCCTGAACCTGCCTACTCGACGGCATGTATGTGGTATGTGTTCTCACCACGGTTTTGTATGGCTCGGAGTGTTGGACCCCATTGAAGTCGGACTTGGACAAGCTGGACAGGTTCCATCACGCCAACCTACGGTCAATCCTTTGCATTTCGCGCGGCCGCCAGTGGGAGCAGCACATTACATCGGAGCAACTACGCACACAGTGGGGTGACCCTACTCCACTGTCGTGCATGGTACAGCGAAGACGCTTGGAGTGGCTTGGGCACCTAGCTCGGCTTGATAACAATCGGTTACCCAAGCAGTTGCTCTTCGCTCATCTTCCACGAACCCGCCCGTTTTGCGGCCCCCGACATCGCTGGAAGGACGTTGTCCAGGCTGATCTGACTGTGGCCGGTGTGCACAATTGGTTCCAATCAGCCAATGATCGCGGAGAGTGGCGTGACATAGTGTCGGCAGCAGCGGGGGTGAAGGAGCCTGCCCCGAAGACGATTGTGTGCCACGTTTGCGGCCGCCTGTTTCGTCGGCGCGCCGACATGGCCTGGCACAAGTGCACAGCAGTCCGACAGCTCCCCGTATCACAGCAGCCTGGGTCGGTGCAGTGTCCTGCCTGCAGTAGATGGCTCCGGAGCAGGGGTGGGCTTGCAGTGCATAAGTGCCTAGGGAGTGGCAATTGTGACGACCGACCGCCTTTTGATGCTCCTCCTGTTGCCGAGGTCCCGGTGTGTACTGCCTGCCAGCGTACTTTCAAGTCTACTGCTGGCCTCAAGCGCCATCGCTGTGGACCCCGCCGGAAGCGCCCTACAGTGACTGATCGCCAGCACTTTGAACATCATTGCCGAGTCTGTAGTCAACGTCAGTTTCGGAGGCGACAGGACCTGGAGCGCCATTTGAAGCACTGCCTACCTCTCCCCTAACCTCTCTGACAGTACCTCCCTTTGGGGAGCGGCGTGGCCATTTCTGGCAGCTGTCAATAGTAGTAGTAGTAGTGTGTGCGTGCGTGTATGTGTGTGTATGTATGTGTGTGTGTGTATGTGTGTAGGGCGTGTGTAGTAAGATGGTGTTTGTTTGTTGTTGCTGATGGTTTGTATTTTACTTCGCAAGGCCAAACGGGCAATTTGTTTGTTTGTTTGGTTGTCTACTTTATTTGAATTCGCTAATCCAAACAAGCACAAATGCTCAATGACAAGGCAGCGAATATGGTATTGTTTTACAGGGGAGATGAGTTGGGGAGAAATTAATGAGGAAGAAGAGAGAATGGTAGATATCTCAATGATATCTCAATGGAGAGCGAAGCGTTATCAAACCTACATGTACAAGTAAGCCAACGAATGACAGTTCTGTAACCTGCCTAATACGACTCTTAAAACTATACAGTCAAATCTACATATACATGTACATGTACGTATGGACTTGTGTACATGTACATGTATTTGCATGCTTAGATAAGATATTTGATGAAAGTCTTTTTTTCGACTTGCAAAGAAAAGGACGAGCGGAATCGCCTTGTGTAACGACTTTATTTCCTTCTAGGAACAAGCAAATCATGGAAGCCAACTAAGGCTGTGATGGACAATCAATAAACAATGGGCTGAGTACATGTACAACAGAAAGTACATGTACATGTACATGTATGTGGAGAAACAAAAATGGTGGATAATGATTTACGCCAAACTAGCTTTCGCACAACGCTCATCAGGAAGAAACCGCTAAACTGAAGAAAAAATTAATGCGGCGGGGGCTATGGAAATGAAATTCAAAAGTGAGAAATGATACACGCAACAAGGCGAGTAGCAGTGGAGGGAGTGAATTTTCATGTATGTGTACAAGAGAGTTAAATTGGCAGAATTATGGAGAGTCTGGGGCTTGAACAGCGGCGGGTAGACGAAAAACGCTTACACTGTGCGATAATTCAACGGAGGAGGTAGAAAGGAATTCAAAGATAGCATCCCTGAAAATCATACAGGAGGGCAGCCTTGACTGCGACTGGTTAACTAAAGTAGAAAGGAAAATTGTGCTAGAGTATCAATGGCACAGTGGTTGTAGTCGAATGCTCAGTGCACTATTCGAATGACATGTACGTGTACGTGTATGGGTAAAGGTGTTGTATTAATTAAAAGTCGTGTGTGATTGATAGAGTGGGAAACAGAGAAGTGTGTGCAGGAGTACAACAGGGCACACCATGCTTTAGACTTGTGTTTAATAGTTACTCGGTTATCACGGAAGCACGAACCATTGCAAATAGTCAGGTGTTCCGGTGAGCAGTATCCTGTCCTGTGAAAGTTCTGTGAAAGATAAAGAGATTGTATAATAAAACAAATAATCACAATCTATTACAATATGTAAACAAACGTGTCGGAGGCAGCAGTTTTAATATACATGTAGCTACAAGAAGGTCTATTTGTACTGTAAGCATTGCTTAAAATGTCGAAATGTCCAAAGTACATGTATGTGTGTAAAGTATTCTAATATGTTTCCGAAAAAGAAGGATTTCGAGGCAAAAACAGCAGAGACTGGCCTGCAGTGAGCGGAATAGACCTAACTTTCCACCACTCCACAACTGAGAGTACAAAATGTTCATGCGTGTGGCCACGTACATGTATATCACGTGTACATGTAAACAAAGTCGGTAGCGGCCACTATTAGTGTTACTATAGATTTCGCAGCACCGCGAATCGCCTTGCTGCAGCCCCGCAATGTTGCCTGATAGCCCTGGGAGAAACTTCAATCATAAATTTTGATATGAAACAGTGTTGTCGATTAGGCTACAGTGCCGTTTTCTTGGATAACCCCGGGGAAAGCTTCAATCCGTACTTTAACATTGCTCTTACGCGATTAGGCTGAAGCAGCTTTCGCGGAATGATGTACATGCGCCAGCAAGGCTGCCGCGAAGGCCGGAACCAGCGTGATCCATGCGATGATGAAACTGGCACCATAACTTGCTTTAACGTTCAGACCCACGCTGGGGCGAGCCATTTGAAGATTGGCATCCTGGTTGATGAAGGCGACGAAGCTGAGTGCGGCAATGGAAATCGCGATACCTGAGTAAATAACCAGAGAGATACCAATACACAATGAAGAATGGCAGGAGGACATACATGTACATTCCAATTTTGTTGGCACCATTCCTAAGATCCGTAGATATGTCCTGAAATGAAAATGCTGTTTGCTGTTGATCGCTTGAAGCGTGAAACTCGAATTAAAAACACATTCGTCATCCTCTTATTCTCGTTCAATAAACCATGTAATCATTAGCACCTTTTGTACAAGAAGAAATGTTATGCTTGTATGATAGTTCTACATGGAAAAGAAAAATTAACCTTCTGAGGAAGACAGTGCAAATATCTTCCAGGATCCAGACGGAGTGGAGTTGGGTGTTAGAATGATTGACTGCAAACTGGCCTTGGGTATGAAGTGGTGGATAATGGCATCACAGGACTCCGGAATTCATGCATAATATGTGGATTCGCTTATCCTAATGCAGAACGAACTTGCAAACTAACAACGATGTGACTATGTTTGCTTGAGCATATGCACCTGTATATTAGATAGTACTTCTTTCAATATAATCCAGAGTACGTCACTACATTCGGTTCTAGTACTGCTTGGTCTCTGCCTCTTTCTATCTATCCGTGTATCTATCTCTCTCTTGCTCTATCTCTATCTCTCCTTCCCTGTCACTTTTTCTCTTTCTGTCTCTTCTTCTCTGTCTCTCTCTCTCTCTCTGTCTCTCTCTGTCTCGCTCTCTTTCTCTCTCTATCTATCTATGTCCCTCTCTCAAGTATCTCTCTATCTCTTGCGCTCTCTATGTCTCTGTGTCTCTGAATCGCAGTCGATGTCTCTGTATCTGTCTCTGTCTCTCTTTCTCTGTCTACCTCCCTGTTTGGACATTTATCTCTCCATACGTACCAGATACAGCGAAGAAGATGTTAGGCAGTCGCAGGAGTCCGACCTTTGTGCTGTCATACTCAATAACCAAGGTGCTGATCAAGGCTATACCTGTGAATATTGTGGCTATAAGGGAGAAGGACTGAGCCGAACGGAGGCTGGCTGAATTCAGAAATAGAAAAAATCAGACATACTCAATTATGTATTTGATACTCGGATATTGAACCAATGATATTATGTAGAAAGGATAGGGACATATGGAATGTCTCAATACTCTGTCAGTTTTGTGCCTATTAGATGCACTTTCTGACTGTCCTGTATATAGAATATAGTTACTATGGCGGACACTTAAACTTTAAAAAATTAATTAAGTGTCCTAACTACATGAACCTGTAGACTGTAGTCATATACATGTACAGTTGCGCTCACTGAAATCCGACCCAAAGTGCAAAGTTGGCGCCCTGGACCAGTTCCGATTACATCATTGTTTGTGTGCGCGTGTTTGTCCAGCCGCAGTCGTTCCACTTCCAGGGCGTCAAGGGCAGCGGAAGTTGAGGGCGCCAGCTTTGCACGATGGGTCGGATTTCAGTGAGCGCAATTGTACATATACGTGCACAATGTACAAATGTAAAACAAGCAGATTCTATGATGATCAACAGTGTGCTCGATGCCCAAAGGCACATCTACATGTATTTTCAACCGAGAGAAGAGGATGAAGATGTCGTTGTTCGTCCATATCTCACGCACGAGGCGGTCATCAGCCAACAGCAATGGGAAAGATCTGGATGAGTCGCAACGAAATGGTCAACTCTTCTTCTTGTTGTACATCCACCTGTTACACTACATCATACATGTACGTTGCATACAAGTAGTCAATGGTTCCATTGACGATGTGCTGTAACTTGTTTAAACACGTTACAGCACAATACGAGTGGGTATTCTGTACATGTATGTTTAAGTGCAATATACGGCAATCAACTAAACAGATCCTGCCCGTGTTTATCACGCAAACATCTGGCTATGGGGTCCTTTCCGCAACAGGAGTTACGCAAACTAGAAGTGCGCCACACAAAGAGGCGTGAGATCTATAGATATGAAAATGAGACCAAAGCGTCGCATAGAATTCATGTTCTCGTTTTAGGGATTGCCAAGCCAAAACATTTTGATTGTTTGTCCTCAACAAATTTGCTATTTCGTAAATTCTTGTACTTATGCATTCTCCGCAAAGCTGAGCCTAAATCGAGGGAGTCTCCGTCAACAACTTATGATGAAGAGGAAACTGAGGAGACAATTGAAACAGATAGAGCAGCGCGGAGTGGTAGCAAATTAGCACAGAACTATCATCATGCAGTATTCGCAAGAGAACTTCCATGTCGAGGTGCTCGCTTACCGGGAAACTTTGGTGTCGTGATCACGAATGATGTGCATCTAGTTTGCTTGGATGCTCCTCCCAATTTCAGCTCTTGACATTCTCGCCAAATTCCGGTGTTGTGCTTTCTGCTATTTCCAAATCTGTCAGTCAGGGTCTCCTCGTACCACTTTGGTACAGCTGTGTGGGGAAACATACAACATGCACTCAGTAAGCTAAAACTAATTGGCAAAGCATAACGCGTATGCGATGTGTGAAGTGAAGAGAAATATGGGCACCAGAAATCAATGTTACTCCTATCAGATACATTTTACAAAGTGTTTGAAGTGCTTGCTGGAAATATATTGATCAATACCCTTATGAGGGCAGTACTTCCCACATTGTACGGATGGGCATGTGCAGTGGCCTTGTCACGAATCATCTGAGCAATATCACCGTTAATGTTCTTTGTGCGTCTGTAACTTTAACCCTTCCCATCATGAAAGTGAGATTGTGGGCGGGGAGAGGAGGGAGGTACTTACAAATTGGCTACAACTAATCCGTTCTTCACACGAGATTCAAAACGCTTTCCAATGTTTAATAATAGGTCATATACATTCTGCGAAAGCTGGTTTTGAATTCTACTTGGGTTGAATGACAAGTCTGGCAAAAGAGGTCAGGACAAAACATGTTTACCGTAGGATCCTATTTATAAGGCCCATGGCTATAAAACAACACGATGCCATTGTTAGACGTAATGTTGTAAGTAGAATTGAACTGGAATGGAGCAGTTTCTGCGCCTCGGACGTGGCCAGACCAGTAGTGATCATGACTTTCTCTCGCGATAATGAAGCACCTTGTTGAAGGAGAAATCTCACCAGGACTTTATATTACGCGATGGTCCGATATTACATTTACATTCGGGGGAAGAAACACACGCCTCAGTATTGTTTTGAAATCCTGGGTTAACGGAAAAACGCAGTGCAACTAAATTGTTTTGACAAGGACATTTCCAACGTAATGCCCACATACGAAACACTCTCTACTCTGTTTACGTACATTGTACATGTACAAAAAGTGGGACCTCCGAAACTTTCCTTTTTCCTAAACCAGCCATTTGCCAGGTTCCTGTTTGGGCTACGCACTCCTAGATGCACGGTTTGAGGTATTCGACGGCAGTAGGGTAATATTGATAACGTCTCTACATTCAAGCGATCATATACATGTACATGTACATGTACGTCGCCACAACCTACCGATTATAAAAAATGAATTGCAACGAGGTAATAATACATATAGGTGATAAATTCTGGAAACTCACCATGAACAGTAATCAGGAGGGCAAGCGTCACCACCGCCGACAGTATAAGGGGAAAAACAACATTGTTGGCCATCCTTCTTCGTGCAAAGAAAATATCAGAGTCTGAAAAGCTTAGCAATTGCCTGCACAACAAAAATATACTTGCTGAAAGATGCAATGGAGGAGTAGTACTAGTAGTTTTGGAAGACCCTTTCCTCCCTTTTATAGGGAAAGGACACAAGAAGACTTTGGCAAAGGGCTAGATCTTCATCACTATCGAACTTGGTAGACGGGTCTGGACCAGGTTCTACTTTGCGGGGACACTTTGGGAAAAGTGAAGGAATGATAACTGGGGATTTTTTGTGGAAAACTACTTACGGTCGCCAGTGCCAGGACTGTTCGTACGTGTATATTCAATATACATGTGAATGTACTATGCAGTGGTAAACCAATCCGCCTGATGTAGCGCTCCATGAATCATTGAATGCCTTAGACCGTTGGTAGATTTCTGATATTCACCCAATCCACATGTACATGTATCATGTCAATGTATACCGTTCCTTTGTTTGTGTATACCGTTCCACAGCCACATATCTACATGTATATGTACATGTACATTGTACCTGTGTTATGCAGTAGCGTCTTCTATTGCCACATGCCGCTACGGCCGCTCGGTTATGGATATTATACAGTCATGTACATGTATGTACGTACGTACTTGAACATGTACTTGACTGTACATAATGATGTACTCTTTGTGGAGAGCCTAGGGGCATGAATGCGCAAAGCCAGGGTGTTGGTAGAACACATGTACAGGTACATGTATGGTACATGTACATATGTATGTACCATCCCGCCGTGCGTATATTGGTACGTAACGTTTTTGTTCACAGAAGTGTGCCTTCCTTCAGTGGATTGTACCTGCTGTACCTGCTGTACCTGTAATATACTAGTGCACTGTATACAGCATCAGTACAGGAATCAACATAATGCCGTCATGTCACGAGGTTTCACAAGTACATGACTGTCAAAAAATGTACAGTCACGTACATGTATGAGGAGTCAGGACTCAGGAGATGCTGATTCAGTACTGAACTGACATGGCATTATTTGCAACAAAAAATTACATTGAAACAAGACAGGTACATGTACATGTACCTCGACCCGGGTCGACGTCGAGGAAGCGCAGCTGGTTCGAAACAGTGTGCTCAGTGCGCACAATAATCAATAGGCTGAGCAGTACACACATACATGTACAAAGTCATGTACATGCACACGGGATGTGTAGCTGTAACATACATGTACATGTACATGTACATGTACATGAGTCTTTGGCATTCAAATGCTGCCGGCGGGGGCGGGGATGCTGTCTGATGATCACTGAAATGCGTGAAACTACATGTACATGTATTTTAGAGTTATTTGAAGTAATAATTATTATTAGTTAGAGCTACACAGCCTTTCACCTCCGTTGTATTTGTACCGGTTTTCATAATTAATTTATAGAGTCTGATGTTCTCAATTACTTCCTTTGACAACAGTTACATGTACTGATGTAGATTATGTAGCATGGCTCAGTATCGTTTTGCTTTTTCGGAGATTGTTCATGGTTTTCCTTCTCGTTAGACAACAGCTTGTGCATTTCCCTGCATTGATACGTCTACGTCATTGTATGGAAATGTACATGTATTTTAGTTTTTGCGCTTAGTCTACACTATACATGTACTTGTACATGTATATCCGGACAGCTAGCTGTTTTGGCATTGTACGTCGTAAGGTCTCGTCAGTGTACATGTAGCTGATAGTCGCTGGCCGACCCAATCCCAACGAGGATTACACGTGCTGAACAACAAAGCTTTGTTTTGAGCGGCTCTACGAATCTAGGTCATATACTATAGTTAAACATTCGTGAAGCAGACTGTGCATTCCGCATCTGCTAGTGCTAGTACATGTACATGTGTGTGAATGTGTTTGCAAATTGTTATTCTACATGTACGTGTACGTGTACATGTACATGTACACGTACATGTACATGTACATGTATAACTTTCTACTTGTGACTTCAAGCTGTGAGGGATGCACATCTTATCATGTTGTTTGATGCATCAACCTCTGAGTTACAACCACAAAGCCTTTCTGTTCACTTTTTGACTGTTTGATGAAGAGATTGGTGCGACTTCGACGACTTCAGTTTGACTTTAAAAGAAAATGAAAGTACACACGCACATGTAGATATTATTGTCCGTTTTATTTCACAGCAGTCCTTGCCTAGTCTAAGATTTCCGTCCAGGGTGCCCAAGGTATACTACAGAATGAGTTGGGAGTCGAGATCAAAGTCCTGTACTCACACTGCGGAGGAATTTGGGAAATGAATGAACGCTGTCTGCACCATAAAATGAAATAGATTTGAGGCCAGTACGGGTGTGTAAATGACATTGGAAGGACTAAGATAGTTTGTTTACAAATGCGTCATCCTGGCTCCCAAAGGTGCAAACAATTCGCAACAAATCAGCAATCATTTGTTGACAAAATTAATGCGTCATCCTGGCTCCCAAAGGTGCAAACAATTCGCAACAAGTCAGCATGGTCGGGATTTTGGTCACAAATCCAAAGCCCAGCATGCACCCGTACATTATGTCATGTACATGTAGTGTCGTGGACATGGAAATCCGGTCGCACGTCTAGCGGCCCAACGCCCAAGCCGTGCAGCCGTGTGTAAACAGTACACAACATGTCCATGTCCATGTACATGTACAATGTAAATGTTCATGTACATGTAAATGTAAATGTTCAATGATGTCGCTGTAGCGCGCTGGTCGCATCGGATCAATTATTACCACTGTACGTCATGTAGTACTAGTAGTACATACATGTACTGATTATGTGCACTGCATGCAACGACGTTCTGCACGCGCTGAGGGCGCCGGCCCCGCCCCTGTCAATCCACGGGATGTCCATGTCCACGACAGTGCATGACTGTCATGTATGTTACATGTACATGATGTAGCCTATCATTGTTATCAACACATTTTTGTCATGCTGCAGCGATTTTCTCCTCTTGTACATAATCCTCTGGCAAGACATTTTCAGAGCACACCAATGTAGTGTCACTTTCTTTTGCTCTCCTTCTCTTTCCTCCCGTAAAATGGCAACAGTCCATTTCCGTCACAGTTCAGGATGATCATGATGATGGAAATTTACTGAAAAGACGAATACCATTTGCTGGGGCCGGGGAGTAACGCCGGTCACCAGTACATCCTGGAACACAGCAATGGTCATGGTTGGTCGGCATCCGAAAACAAGACAGCGAAAAATCACTCCAGCCGCTATAGAGCAAGCAAAAATATATTTACTGTTTCTTCTATCCAGATTTACAGCTTTAGTTTTTCAGTAATCTCAACGCCGAAGGAAGTGCTAAAACTAGCACAGTAACAGTGGAACTGCATGCATTCCATTCATGCACATCCAGCACCTGATCACATAAGCACGCAACAAGCCTAAAATCCGTGTACTTTGCACATCCCGTGCACTTGACAAGCTGAACCTGGGCGCATGGATCGCATGCCCTCTCAACTTTTCGAGCGCTTAGTTATCATTTTATTTTATTTTATTTTTATTTTACTATGTTCACATAACCAGCTCGAAAAGAATAAGGAAAGACAATGGTACAGAGACTAGGGCAAACGTGACAACTAATGAGCAGGCGCTGCACCGAGACGCAGCAGTGATGGTGGGGCATTGACGACTCTGCCGACCTGAGGTCTCGGCGTCACGGCCAAAAACACGCACCAAAAACAATGCAAAACAAGAAGATAGAACTGTACAGGTACAGTAAGAAAGATGCAAAAACCCAAGGTTTAACACGAGCGATTGTTGGGGAGAAACTGTCTTGGCATCATACTATTCATAGGGAATCGACTGCCCAGAGCCAGTTTGTGCTGCGAAGATGGCGGTAAACATTCGTTTTGAATGATTGCATTCTCTTGCTGTGGGGAGGCTGGGATAAGAGAGCGGCAGGGAGGGAGTTCCTATCGCTGATGCTGCAGTGTGGGAACGAGCGCTTCAGTGCCAGCGAGACAGATGCAGGCAGCTGGTGTTGGAGCTGGTGGTCATGGCTACTGACAGCACCGTGCTCGCTGCGCGTTCTGGGGTTGGTAGAGATGATGTGGCGCGGTGGCAACACAGAGAGCAGCTGCGTGCGGAGGACCAGGCAAGTAGTGCAGCTTGTACAGGCAGGCAAGCGAGGCAACAGTGCGGCGGATGGCCAGGCTGGGTAGGTGTGCCTCAGAGCCGATAGGCGATAGCATGAAGCGCGCGGCGCTGAACATTGTTCAGACGCTGGAGGTGACTCTGCGCAGCTCCCATCCAAACAAGAGGCGCATACTCCATGACTGGTCGTACGAGCGCCTTGTATACGGTCGTCCGGCCGGCGGGGTGAGTATGTGGGCGGCTCTGTTTAGGACCCCAAGCCGTTGGCGTGCAAGGGTGGCTGCGGAGCGTAGGTGATCGCTGAAGGTCAACTTGGGTTCACCTTCACACCAAGGAGGGTGATGGTGGTTGTCTCGGGCACCAGTGTGCCACCAAACAGGAGTGGGGGGGGGGGGGGGAGATCTAAGCCAGTGGCAGAGGGTGTGGCTGAGGCTGAGGGTGAGGCTGAGGCTGAGGCTGAGGGTGGCTATCATGCCCTGGGATTTGGTCGGTTCAAACATAACTTTCCATGTACGACCCCACTCGTGCAGTCGGTCAATGGACACCTGCAGTGACTTCGCGGCGACTGTTGGGGTCTGCTGGGAGGTGATTATTGCCAAGGTCCTTGCAACGTACCGGTATTGTGTTCATTCATTGATGCTTGTCTTGAAGTGCTGGAGCACAGTACAGTGTACTGCATTAGGGTTCGTACGCTACCTGCGGCCGATTCACTACTTCAGTGGAAGCGAGGAAAATGAAGTGAACCTACCGTACTTGTGAAACCAGCCAATCTGACTGAACTCTTACTGTGTTTACAGAATACATGATCTGCTACATGTACATGTATGTACATGTACATTGTATGCCCTTTATGTGATGGTTGTGGTCTAATTGTGATTGATCTAAAAATAAAATGATGACGATTGAAGACAATGGGAAATAGGGTCTGTAAAGAAGTGAGGTACTAGTTGAGTATATACACTGTACATTGTACTGTTGCCGGTTGTCAGTTGTACATGGTATGCGTATTCTCTCTTCATGACGACTACAGAGTCAAAATGACAGATGCATTGCTTGCCACGTCTACCTCCATTCTCGTT